CACAAAAAAACATAAACTCAAACTAGGAAAAATTACTTGCAAACATTATTTGCATCATCTTTCACTTGCATTATTCCTAGGTGTTTTTTTTTTTTTTTTAAATGGAATTATTTTCTTAATTTTTTTTCTTATAATGCATTATTACTGTATTAAAATGCAACCAATTTTTTTTTTTTAGCTGAGCCATCCTGCCGCCTGTTGGCAGCTCAGCTCGGGCCAGAAATCGAACCGCTGTTGCTCAGAGCTCGCACTCTTGAGCTCCCTGGGTCTTTTTAACTGGTCTCTATGTTTCTCCCACCCACCCACCTCCAGCCATCTATGACGCCTCCAGTGGCGTCCCATCTCACAGCACAAAATCTAAAGACCTTATCACCACTGACAAGACTGCTCCAGATCTGACCCCACTATTTCCTGATTCCTCTTTTCCTTGTCCATTCTAGTCTGTCCACTGCCTTGCTGCTCAAACATTCCAGCTAGTTTCTCTCTGTACAGTTTGCCATTCCTCCTGCCTAGAATGTTCTTTCTTGGGTCTTGATTACTCCCTTCTCTTCAGGTGTCTTCTCAGATCTCCATTTTATCAGACTTATAGCCAGACTTTCCTGGCCACTCTGTACAAAATAACATCCTTCAGACACACGGGTATTATTTTCTGTCTCTTTTTACCCTGCTTTATGTTTTCAACTATCACAGCTATCAACTTTATTTTAACAACTGTCACCACCTCACATATGTGTGAGTGTGTGTGTGTGTGTGTATAAATTCTTTTTCCTGTATCCCACTACTAGAATTGAAGCTCCTTAGGGTAAGGCATTTACTTTGTTTCCTGTTTTAACCCCAGAGCCTTAGGCCAGCGCTTGAATGAATAAAATATGACAAAGTACTGTCTTACCTAAAGTATAAAAAAAACTCTTTAAAAAATTGAATAATAGTAGAAATAGACAAAGGATCCTGAACAACCCACTAAAATATTTTAATGGCCAGCACACATGAGGTGTTCACCCTCATTCCTAATTAAATAAAATGCAAAATAAACTTGAAATTTGCATCATTCACATAGTAACATCATTCACATAGTAAATGGTTAAAACTTGTGAGGGTGAAGGGGAAGCAGGCACTCATATTATTAGTTGGAGTGCAAATTTGATACATTACTAGAAGGCGATTTGGAAATTTTTATTGAATTTAAATATTCTCTTCAGCTGATAAAGTTTTCTAAAAGTCATCGTAAAGAAACATTGGCACAGATGCTCAAAGATAAAGCACTGTTTGTAATAGTTGTCCTCCCTGCTTCCAAGGCTCACTAGTCCCAAAAGGATAAGCCATAGGACAACCTGGGAAAATAGGGTCCTGGAACTAATGCAGAGGTGACGTCAGACCATTTCTATAGACCGGGGTGGGGGTACCTTGGCATTGTTTCTGAAGGCCAGTCTTCCAGTTTGGCAAGAGCTCATAGAGATGACAGAACCTAAGTCAGGCTTTGAAAGACGAGCTCCAGATATTTTCAGCTTATGTTAAAAAAGAGGTGGGTGGGGGAGTGATTGCTTTTGGGGAAAGTACATAGGGGTGGAGAGAGAAGAATGAAGGCTTTTACTTTTCAATTTGTACATTTCTGAACATTTTAAATTTTCTGACCATGTACATGTATTACTTTTTTTATGTCTCTAGGATAATCTAGGCTAAGAAATTATGGGCCATGGTTTTGTCATCTTTTCCCTTCTCTACATTTTTAAAAATAAAAAGCCTAATAAATGTTAGTTGGGTTTTTTTATGGGAAGTGTGGAACTCTTTATCATCCAAATATAAAAGCAAGATTAATTTGGAATTAAAATGGGAGACTAAAAATAATTTCAAATCATTGAAGATAATATATCTGAACTTCTATTTTTAGTATGCTAAAATTCTTATGTGGTCAAATGCTTTGTAATATTTCCATTCAAGATATGCCTTCGCAAATTATCATCTTCCTACTATTACAACTTGCTATGTCTGTGAACAAGGGATCGAATTATATAAAACTCAGCTTTTTTCAAAACAAATATATTTTATGGCTTTTTGTAAAAACTTGAGTTTCCACAAACTGACATTGTATGATTAAGAAAAGAAAAAACAATGATAAACTTAGGCTAAACTTCTATAAACATATACTTTTGTCCCATCAGAGCATACCACTTCCAATAATCTTGCTCTCAGAGGCTCCTGTGGCAGACTTTTGGCTGCTAAGCATTATTGCCCCATGAGTTCAAATTGGCCTCTCTGTGGGAAATCGTGGTTGCCCAATCAAACTGCTAGTTTTCAAACCCCATGTGAGCAAAGGACTGTGTGTCTATTAACTTTATATAATCCCAGAAATTAGCACATAGTTCTCAAAAATAAGTCCGTAGTGAGTTAAAATGTTAGAAAAGAGTAGCCATGAGTTTTAAAAAACAAGTTATATTAGAGCCTTGGTGAGGGGGACAAAAATTCTATCCCAGGCTCTAGATGTGCTTGGAATCATAATCTCAACTTTCACTTCTGTTGTGTCACTTTGTGTATGTTTCTTTAACCTTGTGTTGTAATTTGCTGCTGACCTTACATTGTGATACACTTCATTGTCCTGTTTACGCTTTTCAAAATTAAATGTTATTTTCACAGGTGTATTTATTTCATCAAAATGTGTGCTATATTTCCCACGTGTGTTTAAATTCAGCCTCATGTTCATTTGAAACAGTTATGTGAATCAGCATATGCTGCAATTTCAAAGTAGTTTAGTCTTACTGGCTTGGTCATGTGATGCATTTTATTTAATTGCCTCAGTCCTGCAATTAGCAAAGTGAGGATGGCATTTCATAAAAACAAATGCCATTAAAATCTATGAACAAAAAGACGAGTATACATTTACTTGTTTGGCTTTGCTTTTTTAAAACAAAATTGAAAAATTTGGTAACACTACATTAAAGTAATAAAAATATTGAAAAGGATGACAAAAAGCTTCAATGAGATTGACTCATGTAAGGAAATGAGATAGCTAATGGTGAGCGTGTGTGTGGTACAGCGAGTCAAGAAGTCCCAGTGAATCCTGGGGCTCAGGTGGGCAGAAACCTGAGCTAGGCAGAGCAGACAAGTTAACTGGCATTGCTAGGAGAGACTTTCCAGATCAGCTGTATGCTGTCACTAAATAGATAAGGAAGCCATTTGCTCAGGACTCACTTTGTCAGACACAACCCGTATCCTACCATGTGGACCAGTGGACCAGTGGTCAAGGTTCCATGGTATAGACCCCTGGGGGCAGCCTCATAGCTCCTGCCTGTACCATTCCCCTGCTACATTATATTATTAGTTGCCTAGGACAGGTACATGCACATGCCTTACCTCTAACTCAGATGAGCTCTTGGGGACAAAATCTGTCTTTTTATATCCTCGTTGTAACTTGCATATAGTGCTCATATTATAGGGCATCAATTTCACAGGCCCAGGACCTACTAGAACTCCTCAGTATTGAGGTGGCTCTTTGCCTGTGGTGCCAAACCAGACACCAGTGTGGTGGTTACAAACGCTGCCTCAAAAAAACAGAATGCCGAGCTGGCCGAGTGGCACGTTGGTTAAGAGCTGGCTTGGGACGCCCCAGAGGGCCCCNCCCCTCTTGCAATTTTTAACAAATGATTTTGAAAACTTCTAGCTGCTACTAACTGGCAAAATATAAAGTACCTTTAGGCCTTAACCCAGGAAGTAAAAGCTAGGAGACTATACATATTCCAGTGATTTTTAAAATGGAATCAAACCTTCTCAACAGGTAATGAGGATTATTGCATTAAACAAGAATACCTTATATGTGAAGATTACAAATTATTCTGGGTGACACCAAGAAACTCTGCAGAATTAACCATGATAAAGGTGGGACTGATTCTTTGTTATTTCAATTGCCTTGTAAATAATGTGGGTTGAAGCAATACCTGTGGCCCCATGGTACCATCAAATCCTTTGAATAGCCTATAAGTTCCTTATAGGAAAGTCAGTGATGCATCAAGAAATCACTTCATTATATGACAGGATCAGGTATCAAAAATAAGCAATTGTGTAAGTCTCTTAATATGTCCAAACATATTAAGTATTCTCTCAATTTTATCTTTTTGAGGAAATCTGAAATTTTCTGCCTTCTCCAATCTCAACTAGTTATATTCTAGCACGCATACAAACACACAGAGTATTACTTTGAAATTTTCATTCACCACCATCCTAAGGGTTCACATTACCTCTTTCTTATATTGGATGCCCAGTTATATTGGATCCTATTTTGTCTTCTTTCTTGGTTTAAGCCTTCATGTTTTAGTAGCTTCCTGAGAAAAGATGCATGGGGTGTAAGTTTTTTGAAACTTTGCATGCCAGAAAATTCCTTATTTCACATCTTTACTTGATTGGTGGTTTGGCTGGGTACTAGAATTCTAGGTTCAAAACTATTTTCCTTAGAGTTTTGAAGATGAAGTCTATTATCTTTTGATTTCTAACCTTGATTTTAAAGTCTTTTGCCACTCTTTTTCCCTTTCTCTGGGTCCTTGCAGGATCTTATTTTTGTCCCCAGTATTCCGAAATTTCACAATTATATGCTTTGGTAAAAGTCTTTTGTTGCCCATATGCTAGGCACTCAATGGCCATTTCAGTCTGGAAACTCCTTAATTTCTAAGAAATTTTCTTCAAAAAATACAATTTTCTTTCCCTCAGTCTTCTCTCTTCCCTCATTTCAGAGCTCCTTTTATTAGGATATAGGGTATCCTGAACAGATCTTTAAAAATCTTAGCTATTTTCTCCTATTTTCTATCTCTGTCTTTTTTTTTTTTNCCATGTTGGTATGATCATTGCGCTCTTCCTGGGTGAGGCAATTGATTGCTGGTCATTGGTTGGCCACTCACGGCGGCTCATGGCAGCTCTCGCCCACTGCCAGCCACTTACGTAGCTCATGGCAGCCCACTGCAGCCCCGCTGCAGCCTACGCCGTCGCAGGTGACTCACAGCAGCCCAGCTCCAGGTTGAGCTGTTGTTCATCTTCTTAGCTCTAGAGGGCGCAGCGGCACTGGCCCTCAATGTGGGATCCGAACCGTGGCCCTGCTGCTCAGACCTGGTGCTCCCAAGCGAGCTCTTAACCACTTGGCCGGCCCTACAGTGTATTTTTGATGAAATATAGTCTGCTGTTTTCATGATACAAAACCTTTTTCCTCAAATGTTATAATCTTCTTTTTTAAATTGTCTTTTCTTGGAGATTCTGATGTGCTGCTGCTCTACCCTATGTTGAAAATCACTTATCTAATATATGTCTCTCTAAGTAAAAAAGATAGGGCCTTGATATGCTTATTAAAATATTTCAGCTAAACTTTATGTGGTTTTTATTTCAGGATGAATTTACAGGAATTGAACCCTTGAGTGAGGATGCTATTATCACAGGTTTCAGGAATGTAACTATTTGTCCTAACCCAGAAGACACATGTGACTTCGCAAGAGCAGCTCGTTTTGTATCCACTCCTTTTCATGAGATAATATCCTTGAAGGATGTCCCTTCTGATCCCGAGAGACTGTTGCAGGAGGAGGAGCTAGATGTGAAGACTTCTGAGGACCAACAGACTGCTTGTGGCACTATTTGCAATCCAACTCTTAGCATCAAGAAGCTGAGGTGACTGGGGATTATTGGTTGCCCAGACCAGATGGTTGAATACTCTGTTATTCTGTATGTGCTTATCAATTATAGCAATTAGCAAGCTTTTGCTGTGAGGGACTGTGCTAAGTACTTTACATGACAGTAGAGCTCCCCCAGATAAAGTGTCAGTGGGACTTAGTAATTGATTTGAATATGAGGGTTAGAAGAGTGAATTTTTTTTTTTTAAGATTTTATTGGGGAATTGGAGGAGGGAACAGCATTGGGGAATCGGGGAAGGGGAACAGACAAGTTGCCGTCCTTTTGTTCGTCAGTCTAGTTGTGGAGGACCTCGCTTCACTGGCCCATGTTGGTCTTGGGACCATTGCTCTCTTCCCGGTCGCCGGCCATTGGACAGTGGCTCACGCTGGCTGCCAGCCACTCACAGTAGCTTACGGCAGCCCATTGCAGCCCCCCTGCAGCCTATGCCATCGCCGGCGACTCACAGCAGCCCAGCTCCAGGCCAAGCTGTTGTTTACCATGTTAGCTGTAGAGGGCGCAGCATCACTGGCCCATGTGGGATCCGAACCAGCAGCCCTGCTGCTAAGAGCTCACGCTCCCAAGCCAACTCTTAACCAACGCGCCACTCGGCTGGCCCTGGTGTCCCTTTTTCTTTCTTGACCTTTTCTTATTGCAGAGTAAAAACTCTAGAGAAGGAATAAACAGGAAGAAAGTCAGTGTCTTAGTAAGTTTTTCTCAGTAGTTTAGAATAGATGTGAATAGGCATTTACTAGAGATTAGATAAATAAAGCATAAGTTCAGAAATTTAATGCTAGGTATTGCTTATCAAACAGGGTAAAGTTACCTAGATTTTGATTATGAATTGATTTCTGTTTTAGGAAAATAGTGGACTTTAACAATGAGACTATTAAATATCAAATAAAATTATAACAGGTAAGTTGATATATATAGAGGGTGCCAAAAAATTGTATACACATTTTAAGAAATGAAAAAACTATATTAATATATATACCGATAACAAAAGATGAATACAAGTCACGTTTGACTTCTGCAATTACAAGAGGTGCTCAAAGTGGTTACCATCAGCATCCAGACANGCCCAAAAAGGTAGCTTTGAAGTATGGACTAATTTGGGAGAGAATAGGTCTAGAATCTGAAGTATTAGACCCCCAAATGGAAGCACCAACTACACCTGGCCTTGGGGACAGGGAAGGAAATTGGTATAAAAGGGCACTGAAAATTATTTCATATCTAAATATCAAAATTATCAAATATGCCTCCATGTTGGTGCCTGATTTTTTTTTTTTAACTCTATTTATCACTGTTACTACTCTTAAGATTGCTGGAAAGCAGAAGATTCTAAGTACATCTCAACTAAAAATAATTAAGCATATATAGTTGAAGCACTGAAACATGACTTGGACCTGAAAGATAATCAACTTAGAAATTCTTGCTCTTAACCAAAATACAGCTCTTTAAACATTTTCATGTTTGCTTGTACAACTAATGACATAAAATTATGTATCTATATCTTTTATGTAATTGAGCCCTTCTATCCCTCTGCTCTCATTTCTCAGTCTACAGCTTTGACATATAAAGTTATTGCTTTGAGGCTGGACGATAAATCCAGATTCTTTCTTAAGATAGGCTTAGCTACCACCTAGTGACTTCTTCAGCAACCTTGGCAGCAAGACTGACAAACAACTGCTCTACGGATAAAACTTTGTTTCTGAAAGTCCACTCTGAGGAGAGGGAGGTGAATCTGAGGAAGCTACTTTGTTAGAGACCTTGCAACTGTTTTGCCACCTCTCCCTCCATTTCCCATCCCCTCCAACCCCAGTCCTCTGTATAGGGGAGAAAACAGTTCCTGACCAGTTAGGACCTATGATGTCTTAGTTTTCTCTTTGCCTAAGTAAGCATAAAACCACAAAGCGGGCATATCTCTATTAACCTTATATTTTATACATGTTTGTCTTGGGAGAAACAAGCCTCTTTTATGGCAGAAGCTTCAAATGATTTTTATTTCTTGTCTCACTAAGGCAGAAATAGCATAATAATGGAACTGGGGGGGGGGAAACAGCTGAAAAGACAGGATTTTCACTTTTGTTTGAAAAGAGACCATGGAATACATAATGCCTCACCATTCACAAAGTGTGCATCCACTGATCTTCTACGAGTGTAAGAGCCTTCATCCTCCCATGACGGTCATATAAGAAACCTTTCACCCAAGTCACAGTGCTCTAAGTGATGCCGAACCTGAATCTGGAAATAAAAACGTTTCATATAGCAGTAAGACTTTAGACTGTTTGAAATGACTTGTTGATGTGTTTAGGCTAAAGTCTTTAAGCAAAGAAATGCTTCTTTTTTATTGCCATTAGAAAATGAGGAATTCTTCATCCAACTGCACCAACTCTTTCTAATATGCCAAAATTTGCTTCCAATCTGGCTCCTAAAATAAAGGCTTCCCTAATGAGGAAAATACATTTTAAAAAATTTTTCAAAAAATTTTTTTAATATGGCAAACTTCAACTTTAATGAGGTTGTGGTTCCACCAAAGATGCAAGAAGCCATGAATATTTAATAGGATAAAGGTAGCATTTCAAATCAGTATGGGAAAAGATGGATTATTCAATAACTGGCATTGAAACAATGGGCTAGAGTTTGGACTCTGTCACCAGTGCCACCACTAGGTCATACAGCCCCTCTGTACATATTACAAAAGGCCCCCTCCACTAATGAACACAGCACCTCTCAGTGCACCATAGCTTGACTGGATTTCAGTCCCTACTTACTCCTCAGCCTGGTCTCTTGTGTAGTGAATAAATTGCGTAGCCATGTGCTGTGGTCTTTGCCGGTTTTACTGCTTATCTGCAAAACAATTTTAGATAGATCAAAAATGTTAATGTAAAAAACATGAAAATATAAAATACTATATGACTTTGTAATCTTTTGTCTGTGGGACATAAACCCAAGATTATAAATAAAACGATTGCTATTTATTACTATAGTAGATAAAATCTAACATGGCCACCTGTCTCTCCCCTCCAAAAAAAACCACAAA